GCGGCGGCTGTGACCCCGCGGTGCGTGGCCGAAGCGCGCAGGTCCCGGCGCTCAGCGCGGCGTTTGTCGTGGCCGGATCGCCTGCAGGGGGCCTGGCTGGGAACGTCCTTTTCCCCCCGCGCGGGGGTCCCAGAGGCCCTCCCGACTGCCCTGCCGCCCCGGAGCACCGCCACAGGGTCGGAGGCCGCTGCTGCAAAGCCCCCTACCGGCCCCCCACGTGCTGCTGCGCCCCGGAAAACCACGCCTGTGAGAAGCGAGAGGCCGGAGGATCCGGCTCCCGGGGTGGCGCCCCCAGCCTGCTGCCAAGATGTCCCTGAGCCTGGCCCCCCAAAACCAAGCCCCCGGGGGGAGGTGCCAGGCTGACGGCCCTGGGGACAGGGAGGACCTGAGCCTGGGGACGGAGGGGGCGGGCGGCCGGGACAGGGGCAGCGGGGGAGGGGCGCCGGCCTGGGTGGAGCGAGCTGGAGACAAGGGTCCCCTAAGCAGCTGCACCCGCACCCCCCTGCCGACCCGGGCCAGGCCCCAGCTGGGAGGAGGGAAGAGGAGGGAGGGGCTGGGGAGCTCACCTGCCGGGACAGGTGTGGGGCGGGAGAGCGCCAGGGGCAGCTCAGACACCGGAGGGAGCCCCCAGGCAGGGCCGGTGGGGAGGACGGGGTGCGGGCTGCGGGGGGAGGGGCTCTCTTCTGAAAGGTCCGGCGGGGAAGAAAGGGCGCGGGAGAGCGCTAGGTGCCCATAAGCCGGTGTATCCGCGCCCAAGCCCTGGGCGAGGTCCAGGCACTCGGAAGAGGGGTCCCAGAAGCCGCGCCCCAGCTCAGGGCAGGGGCAGACCTGTGTTTGGAGAAGCTCCTGTGGGCGCGTTTACTGCGATGCCCCGAGGACCTTCAGCCGCTGCCCGCACCGGCCGCGCCTCCGTGAGGACGCTGGGGTCTCGGCTCCCACCGGGGCAGACGCCCCACGGAGGGGCGAGCAGGGGCTGAGCCAGGCGCCCGCAGGCCGGGCGAAGCTGGGGAACCGGGAAGAAAGCCGGGGCTGCTGGCGCAGGGCGCCCTCCGGGCCCCCGAGGCCCTGGCCCTTTCGGCGGCCTGTGGGAGCTGTGGCGCCGAGTGCCTGTGTGCGGGATTGGCGGGAGCCTTGAGGGGCCACAGTTGGGGAGCGGGAGCCCTGAGCCCCAGGGAGGGGTGCCCCGCCCTGGGACCGCAGGGCTCTCTGCAGGGCCCGGCTGCCCTGGGCTCTCGCGGCTCTGGGGGAGGGGGTCTGGGCGCCGGGGTCTCTGTCAGCCTCCTGCCCAGGTGGCTCCAGGGAGCTGGGGGGTTCTGCACCCTCCCCTCTCCACAGTCTGCCCTGCGGGGGCGGCTGGGGTCACACCCCCAAGGGGGGCTGTGCCCAGCGTGGCGCTTGGGGTTGCAGGGCACCTGCCCGGTGCGCGCCTGCGCCCTCAGCCTGCTCCTAGGGGTCTCGGCGCCACCGCCCTGTTCTGGAGAGCCCCACAAGGGACCTGGGTGCGTCCCGCGCCACCAGGGCGCCTCCAGGGACCGGCTGTCCTCGGGGAAGTCCTGCTCGGGCCACCCTGGCCGGTTCCCAGGCCGGGAACAAGGACGGGAAGTACGGCCAGGGCCAGCCGCTTCCGGAACTGGAAAGGACAGGGGGTGGGGGGGTCAGCTGGGCCAGCCTGGTGGCCGGCAGGGGCAGGTGGCCCAGGGGCTCACGGGCAAGGTGCCCCGGGGCCTGGGGAGGGGCGGCGGGTCTGCGAGGGAGGGGCGCCTCGTACGGCTGTGCAGCCCATGTTGCGGGCGAGGCCGGCAGTGCTCCTTGGAGGGAGGACCGGCTGGGGTGGACACCGGGCAAGGGAGGACCGGCGCTGGGGTGGACACGGGGCGAGGGAGGACCGGCTGGGGTGGACACTGGGCAAGGGAGGACAGGAGCTGGGGTGGACACGGGGCGAGGGAGGACTGGCTGGGGTGGACATGGACCCAGGGCGGGGCTGGGACCCGGGGAAGGGCGCTCAGTCCGAGGCTCCTGGGCCCTGGCCTCCAGGGGCAGCAGAGAGCAGGAGGCAGGCAGAGGCAGGCAGACAGCCTGGGGGGGGGGAATGCGTGGGGGAGGCGGGGGGCGGACACGCGTGGGTCGGGTCGGGGCGCTACCAGGGTGTCAGCCCGGGACCTGAGGGCCGCGGCGGCTCCGTCCCAAGAGCAGACATGGGCCCTCCTTCCCCACGGTGCCCCTGTCGGCTCAGGGTCCTGGGAAGAATGGGGTGCGTGGGGGCTGGCGGGACCCCTTAAGAGGAGTGGGGGAGGGGTAAGGAGAGGGCAGGGAGATGGGGAGGAGGGGGAGAGAGAAAGGGGGAGAGAAGGGGGAGGGTTTTTCCTCAGTGTGCCCTAGTTTGCAGGGCAGTTCAGGGCCTTCTGGGGGGCAGGACTGGTCAGGCATCACAGCTGCCCCCAGAGGTCACTCTAAGTCAGTGGACAGGAGACCCACTGTGTGGTGTGGAAGGAGCCCTCTCTGGACGCTGCGTCCAGGGCCCAGGGGGTGGGGCGCATGGGGGCAGATGGCGCAGGTGAGGGCGCCTAGTGGTGCCCTCTGCTGGTGCGGGGCTCCAGGGTCCCTGCCCCGAGGGGGTTGGGGGGGCAGGTGGCAGTGGGGGCCATCCACCATGCAGAGGGGACGAGCAGGGGCAGGCTGGCCCTCGCGTGGGCGCAGGGCGCTAGGCGCCAGGGCCGGGGCCCGACTCGTGCTGGTCGGGGCCTGGTGAGCGCCCCTGCTGGGCCACGGCTCGCAGCCCGGCCTGGCCGGCCCCAAGTGTGTGGGGTGTGCAGCTCAGCACAGCCCCCACACCCAGCTGCGGCCCTCAGCACGGAGGCGACCCCATGTGGGAGGCGGCGCTGGCGGGCTGGTGGCCCGAGCTGGTACCAGGCCCTGGAAGGGCAGGTGGCCGCGAGCCCGGCGGGAGGCGCCGGACAGGGGCTTGAGGAAGCCGGCCCGGCCCAGGACTCTGGCGCCTCCCGGCTGAAGAGGGGACCTGAAGAAGGGTGCCCCTGCACCCGGCCCGCCGGGGAGCCCCGGGCACGGAGCCAGGCTGCAGCCCTGGGTGTCCGAAGGGCAAGAGACCGCGGCGGTGCCGCTCAGCCCCAGGCCCGGGATAGGCGCTCGGGGCTCGCAGGGACGCTGTTGGCAGCTGGGCGCTGGGCCTGTCCTGAGCTGCCCAGCCCATGATGTCACGCCGGAGGCCGATGGGCAGCGTTTCCTGAGTCCTGCGAGGCGCCAGCCGGGGGCGGGC